TCGTTTGCGACTGCAGACTTCGTCAGCCTGACATGAGTGAAGGATCCACATCTTATGTTAAATAGGAATACATGTCTCCACAACAGATTTGTGGAAGAAATACTGATGAACGTTTTACGTCATCCCAGAGTTCATATAGGCTTTCAAAAACTTTAATTTAGCCTTCAATAACTTCTCTCTAAAATGTTCAGTTATACAAATAACCACTGTTCCCTAAAGGGGAGGAAGGCGGTACAACAGAGGTGCTATGGGACATCACGTTCTCATGTGGCCTGACTGAAGATGCATCTAACTACACAACGGGTCTCACCACTGCCGCTGGTGACACCGCCATCCAAGGCAAGGGAGGCGAGATGATGGCTCATTTAACACTTTCGAGCATCTTGGGTCTCATGTCTCGTTGATGAGGGAGGTGAGCGAGCTACCGAGTGGGACCAGGGCTCCAAGCTCCCCCAAACACATTGATAAGCAGGTCTGCAACATGGTGACAGAACTGAGTGCGAGGGTGGAGGTGGTCTGGGCTCAGTATAACATCTCCAGGTCTGTGGCAGAAAACCTTCACTGCATAGAGAGTAAAACAGCAGATCCACTAACCCAATTGTTACCGGTCAGGGCCAAGTAAGCAGCCAATGAGGGTCCACAAACCACAACTTCTTGGCACCGCCGAGGAGGAGAGGAGAGAACTGGGAAGTCTCCAAGTCAAATTTGGTCAGCCTGTCTGTCACCTCCATGTGATCTTCTCAGCTAGCAGAGGGGAACTCAATCACAGGACCACCCACATCTGAACCTTTTTAAGCTGTAGGATCCGATTCAGATCATTGGGTCCTGCTGTGCACCCGCAGCTTCCCCCAGGAAAAATTGGATGATGTTTACACGTCAATTGAGCATGGGATAACGGAGCTGGTGACAGAACTCCCACGCCTCTGGGTCCAGAGGAACCCTGATCAGAAGGCAGCAGAATCGACACTAGTGAGCAGTTAAGCTAACTTTTCAGCAGCATAGCTAACAATAGTTTCTTTGTACTTATGTGTTATCAGCGAGGTGAAGAGCGTCAAAACTGAAAAATTCCAGTGACGCTGAGGGCTTGTAGGTGGAGGGTGGGGCCACCACCCAGCATCACGCTCATTTGCCTTTACAGTCATGATTAGATAAGTCTTCAGCCAGGCCACATGAGGGTGTGATGTCCCATAGTACCTTATTTGTACCGAGTGAATAGATTGAAAGGGAACTCCTTCTGTTTTTAGATGTTAAAAGTAATTATATATTGGAAATTTTGCTCACAACCATTCTTGAAAGTGTATGTAGTGTATTGATAGCAGTGTGTTCTTGCTACACAGCCACTCGCCTATGTGCACTAAGATGAAAAAATATGTCAACAAAAATCCTTCTACTGGCTAGGCAAATATTTATGATGTTGGCTAGTTTTTCTGACTGTGCTGCACTTGGGGTTGCATCAGTCACTGCCGCAACGTTATAGGCAGAAATCCCGAGGGGGCATGTCTCCTCCTTGCATAAAGTTGCCCCCCCCCCCAAAAAAAAAATTCAGGCCCTTTGAATTCGAGTGGTGTTTTTTTGTTGGACTTTTGTGCTTATCATGGATTGTCCATAATCGGGCGACGGTGGCACAGGAGTTACGTGCTCGCCCCGTAATCGGAAGGTTGCAGGTTCGAGCCCCGCTCAGTCTGTCGCTGTCGTCGTGTCCTTGGGCAAGACACTTAGTCCACGTTGCCTGCTGGTGATGGTCAGAGGAACCGGTGGTGCTAGTGCCCGGCAGCCTTACCTCTGTCAGTGCGCCCCAGGGCAGCTGTGGCTACATTGTAGCTCATCCCCACCAGTGTGTGAATGTGTGTGTGAATGGGTGAATGACTGATTGTGTTGTAAAGCGCCTTGGAGGTTCCAGGGCTCTAGAAGGCGCTATATCAAATACAGGCCATTTACCATAATGAAAACCATGTCCAGACATAAAGGTGTCCATATTTGCTTTTGGCACCAGTATACCTTAGATGATCTACTTTGTTGTCATTTCATCTGATCTGTGACCGCATGTCTTGGACACTTGGGTGAAGAGAGGAGCAGGGCTGTCAACTGACCACTGCCTGGTCAAGAATTGGCTTTGATGGTGGGGAGGATGCCGGTCAGACTTGGCAAGCCCAAATGTAGTTTGAGGGTTTGCTGGGAACGTCTGGCAAAGTCTCCTGTCAGAACAAGTTTCAAAAACCACTTCCAACAGAACTTCCAAAATGTTTTGTGAGAGGCAGGGGGCATTAAGTTCAAGTGGGCCAAGCTCTGTGCTTCAATTGTCGAGGCGGCTGACAGGAGCTGTGACCACAGGGACGTTGGTGCCTGTCATGGTTGCAATTCCTGAACCTGCTGCTGGACACAAACGGTTAAGGATGTTGTCAAGCTAAAGAAAGAGTCCTATCAAGTCTTTAAGCCTGTGGGATTCCAGAGGCAGCTGATGGGTACCGGCAGGCCAAGTGGAATAGGGCTCGAGTGGTCACAGGATGTGTTCTAACTACAGGGAGATCACACTCCTGAGCGTCCCTGGTAAAGTCTTTTCAGGTGTTCTGGAGAGGAGGGTTGGGCGGATTGTCGAACCTCGGATTCAGGAGGAGCAATGTGGTTTTTGTCCTGGCCGTGGAACACTGGACCAGCACTATACCCTTGGGGGGTCCTAGAGGGTGAATGGGAGTTTGTCCAACCTATCTACATGCGTTTTGTAGATCTGTAGAAGGTGTTTGACCACGTCCCTAGGGGGTCCCTTTGGCCATCAAATCGATCCTCATAAAGACGGTCTCACACACGCAAAAATAATTGTTAAAAGTAATTATTTCTTAACTCCTACCACCAAGTCCCAAATTACATTTTTCTTACACTTAGGGCTTCTTACACAAATAGCATTGTGGGCGAGCCCTGGTGTGGCCTTGAACATGTTAATGCTTTTTCTGCTCTGGTTTAATCTGTTTTAATGCCATCAGAATGTTGATTGCACTGGATGTACATTCAGATGAGGTGAAACGAACACCGGCTAGCAATTTGTCACTTTCTCACCACCTTATTTTACTAGCTGTAAGAGATGATGAGCCGAAGCAGTTAGGGTTTGGCTGTAGAATGGCTACAGAAGGATGGTTGGATAAAAGAAATGCAACGAAGACTGTACTCTTCTTTTGACTTAATTTTAAAACCACTGCCTCATTCACTTTGCAAATGTTCTGTGTAAAATGATTTAAGTCCTTAAGGAAAATGCAGCAATAGTAATGAAGAGGCCATGCAAGCGAAGTCAGGAAGGGCAGAGGCTTAAGTTCTGTCCAAACAAATTCAAAGCATCAAAGAATTTGTTTTCTTTAATCAAAATATCGCATAGCAATAGATTTGACTCATCTGGTTAAATAAAAATATAATAAAATGAATAAGTAATCTCATGCTACCATTTGAACTTGTTAAAAATGGAAAAATACATCTGTCAGAGCAACAGTAGCTCAGACGTTAGTTCAGTTCAATTAAAAAATACTTCATTAATCCCAGAGGGAAATTAGTTCACCCTGGAAATTAGTTTACCCTGTAACTGAAGGGTTGCTGGTTCAAACCCAGGCTCCGACTTGATCAATTGTAATTGTGTCGTTGATCAAGACGCTCTACCTTCTTTGTTTGCTGGTGGTGACTGGAGGGAAGGGTGGTGCCTGTGCTTCAGGGCAGCTGTTACCAGCTTATCACCATCAGTGTAGATCACTTTGGAATCCCTGACTTAGAAAAGCTCTAAACAAATGTGCGTCATTTTTATTATACTATTAATAACCTATTTGTGTAGAACTTTACGATCAGCACCCCATGTATGGGGAGCCACAGAGCTATGAATATTAACTCTACAAATTCATCCCAACAGAAACTAGTAATAGTCGACTCCCATCATTGCCTGCACTCTGAAACTAAAAGAAGGGAAGTTATTTATTACCCCCCCCCCCCCCCCCCACACACACACACACACACAAAAAAAAAGTTTCATTACACGTGCAGCTCTAACTGATTACGTGCTTGGTTTGAACATGCTTTGTGATTTTATTGCAGCCAGTGGTCAGGGAACATTAAAGTTGGTCAATGGATGAGTGGATCCAATTAAGTCCCAGCAGATACAAAAAGCAAACAGCTCATTGTGTGCAAGAATCTGACGATGAAAAGATAAGGGATTTTACAACCAGATAATGACCCTAAACATACTATATAACCCAGTAGGACTCTTTCAGGAGGAACGTGTTGCAACAGAGCTCAGAGTTAACTGAGCTAATCATCAATGGAATAATTAGAATTAACATAATTAGAATGAACACTATTAGGGATATTTAAATGCAATCTGAAATGTCTGATTAGGGTTCACATTTATCTGTATCATTTTATGTCAGTATTGGAAATTAAGAGTAATTTTTTATGTGTGCTATAATATAGCATTTATTATCTAGTCTGAGAATACTCAAGCCTTTGTTTATGGGACTGTTACAAGCTTTTTGTAAAGTGATTCTGTAGATGAGTCTTTACATAATTTTAATTTAGAAAACAAAAAAAGTCTATTGTCTGCTAAGTTAAAGAGCAGAATTTACACTCTAATGTAAACACTTTAGCTTTGAGTATTTTTTTTATTTCTGTTCATTTTAAACTATAATAGAAATAATAGGCTCTTATTGAAAAATCAGCTTATCTTTTCTAGCTTCACTATTCTAAGTAAAAAAAAAAAGAGGACTCTCTTCTTCCACCTTGAAAATGGCCTTGGAATAAGTGAGTAAGTCCTGTGGTCAGATGTCTCATTAGTCATTTAGTGGAGAAGCAAAACAAAAAACCTTCAGCTTATAACCACCTTTATGGTCATTCCTGCTGCAGTTTCTGTGGGTGTTCATTTTTAATTAAAGGAGTGATTTCCCTCACAGGCTGTTTTTCAAAACAGCTTACTCAACACTCCACAAGTATTAATTTACTGTTTTTAATTTTTCCACAAATGGGTTTGGTTTTAGGCAACAGATCCGGATCTGGGAGCAAATGGTCAGGTTCATTATCGCCTCGTCAATCACCAAACACTGTTTACCATCAACGCCAGTGGGAGCATATGGACTTCAGTCCCTCTGGACAGAGAGGTCAGTGGGAATCACAGATTTGTTCTACAATGTTTATTAAATTCCTTAAACAAAAAGAAATGGAAGCAAAGATTTTAGGGTGAATGTTATTTTTTCCACCTTTTATTTTTATTTACAGTTCTTTCTTGTGTTTTTGAAGGAGAGAGGTCACTATTTTCTCATCGTTGAAGCCTCAGATGGTGCAGTGGACCCTCGGAGATCCCTACTGACCCTCTCCATCACCGTCTTGGATGTAGATGACAACAGTCCCATTTTCTCCAAACAGTCTTACAACATCAACCTGCCAGAGAATTCTCCAAAGAATACAGTCATCCTCCAGTTCAAGGTAGGTGTGTGAGGAGGAAAAAAGGTCCGTAAATAAAGTTAAAGTCCTATTAGTCATCACACACTGGTGAAATTTATCTCTGCATTTGACCTGTCCCCATGGGGGGTGGTGAGCAGCAGCTGTGGCTGCACTCGGGAATTATTTGGTGGTTTAACCCACCGATCCAAGTCCTTAACCCTTTATAGGGCCAACATTCATATTTAGCCACTTCCACTCACATCATAATTGATGTCAGTGTGCCTTTTCACAAACACAATTATGGGATTTTACCCAAACAATCAAGGATCAAGCTAGTCACAGTTTGTGCCATGGCACCATTCCACCAATTAGTGTGGGGCTTTAACGAATCAAATATTCTGCAGAGCCAGAAAACTGCTCAATCTCCTCTCGTGTTTACGGTCAGATCTCTAAAACTAACATTGCTAGGTTGAATAGTTGTGCTAAATAAGGATGAATGTTGTAAATGTTAAACTCAATGAAGTTGGTGAAATCTTAGCATGAAATTCAAATCTGCCATAAATATTCTGAATATTTTTAGGTAAAATCTGTGTTTTTTTACACATAATCTCAATATTGATGGTAAAAGTAATAATAACAATCATGATGTTGAATATATTTTGCAGGTTTTAGCTAAGATTTCTCTGGGAAATAGAGTAGGACAGTTATTGTGCCAACCAATCTCGCCATCAGGGATGATGATGATGATGAACAGGAGGAAGATGATTATGAGGTTTATTCTCAAATATAACATATTCTAATAATATATATTTGATCAGAAATAATAAATATTGTTCAATAACTTTTCAAAAACATTCCATAGTAATCTCTTTTTATAAAAATAAACAATTTTGATAAAGTTCATTATTGTCTGTAATTTACTGATAAACATTAGACTTTCATATATATTAGTTTCATTACACACAACTGAAGTAGTTCAAGCCTTTTATTGTTTCTAATATTGATGATTTTGGCAAACAGCTCATGAAAACCAAAAAATTCCTATCTCAAAAAATTAGCATATCATGAAAAGGTTCTCTAAACGAACTATTAACCTAATCATCTGAATCAACTAATTAACTCTAAACACCTGCAAAAGATTCCTGAGGCTTTTAAAAACTCCCAGCCTGGTTCATTACTCATAACCACAATCATGGGTAAGACTGCCGACCTGACTGCTGTCCAGAAGGCCATCATTGACACCTTCAAGCAAGAGGGTAAGACACAGAAAGACATTTCTGAACGAACAGGCTGTTCCCAGAGTGCTGTATCAAGGCACCTCAGTGGGAAGGAAAAAGTGTGGCAGAAAACGCTGCACAACGAGAAGAGGTGACCGGACCCTGAGGAAGATTGTGGAGAAGGACCGATTCCAGACCTTGGGGGACCTGCGGAAGCAGTGGACTGAGTCTGGAGTAGAAACATCCAGAGCCACCGTGTATAGGCGTGTACAGGAAATGGGCCACAGGGGCCGCATTCCCCAGGTCAAGCCACTTTTGAACCAGAAACAGCGGCAGAAGCGCCTGACCTGGGCTACAGAGAAGCAGCACTGGACTGTTGCTCAGTGGTCCAAAGTACTTTTTTCGGATGAAAGCAAATTTTGCATGTCATTCAGAAATCAAGGTGCCAGAGTCTGGAGGAAGACTGGGCAGAGGGAAATGCCAAAATGCCTGAAGTCCAGTGTCAAGTACCCACAGTCAGTGATGGTCTGGGGTGCCATATCAGCTGCTGGTGTTGGTCCACTGTGTTTTATCAAGGGCAGGGTCAAGGCAGCTAGCTATCAGGAGATTTTGGAGCATGTCATGCTTCCATCTGCTGAAAAGCTTTATGGTGATGAAAATTTCATTTTTCAGCACGACCTGGCACCTGCTCACAGTGCCAAAAACCACTGGTAAATGGTTTACTGACCATGGTATTACTGTGCTCAATTGGCCTGCCAAATCTGCTGACCTGAACCCCATAGAGAATCTGTGGGATGTTGTGAAGAGAAAGTTGAGAGACACAAGACCCAACACTCAGGATGAGCTTAAGGCCGCTATCGAAGCATCCTGGGCCTCCATAACACCTCAGCAGTGCCACAGGCTGATTGCCTCCCTGCCACACCGCCTTGAAGCAGTCATTTCTGCAAAAGGATTCCCGACCAAGTATTGAGTGCATAAATGAACATAATTATTTGAAGGTTGACTTTTTTTGTATTAAAAACACCTTTCTCTTTTATTGGTCGGATGAAATATGCTGATTTTTTTAGATGGGAATTTTGGGTTTTCATGAGCTGTATGCCAAAATCATCAATATTAGAAACAATAAAAGGCTTGAACTACTTCAGTTGTGTGTAATGAATCTAATATATATGAAAGTCTAATGTTTATCAGTACATTACAGACAATAATGAACGTTATCACAATATGCACATGTTTTGAGAAGGACCCGTGTATCGCCTTTAAGCCACATGAGATGTCTAAGCTGCAGCTGTTACAATCATGCTTAGATTGTATTAAAACTTGGATGGCTGGGAACTTTCTACAGCTGAATGAAGATAAGACTAAGATCCTCGTCTGTGCCCCAGACAAGCTGGTTCCCAAAATCAGATACTCTCTTTGCCAGCTTGCTTGTCACACCAAACCCTCTGTCAGAAATATTGGTGTGACCTTTGACCCAGCTCTCACCCTGGATTCTCATCAGTTCTCTTGTTCGCTCTTCCTTCTTCCATCTCAGGAACATTTCTAAGCTGAGTCCCATTCAGTCTCAGTTTTAACTTGAGACAGTTATCCACAGTTATCTTCTCACGCTTAGACTACTGCAACTCTCTTTTCACGTGTCCGAGCAAAACCTCCCTGAACCGTCTCCAGGTGGTTTAGAATGACTGTGCTCAGCTTCTGACCAAGTCCTCCAAACACAGCCACATCAACCCGCTTCTCCTCCAGCTTCACTGGATGACAGTCAACCTTAGGGTTCATTTCAAGATACTAGTTTTGGTCTATAGGGCCTTACATGGACAAGCACCATCATACATTGGTGATCTTCTCAGTCCCTACACCCCCAGCAGGTCCCTGAGGTCCAGTGACCAAAGATTACTGGTTGTGCAGCACCAGGCTAAAGACCAAAGGTGACAGATCATTTGCTGCTGTGGCCCCCAGACTCTGGAACTCTCTCCCCCTGAGCCTGAGATCAGTGGACTCAGTGGTCTCCATTAAAAAGCAGCTGAAGACTCACCTGTCTTCATCGCCACATTCTCCTTACTCTGCTCTTTCTAACAATACTGCCTTTCCCAGGATCTACTGATTTCGCTCTTTCTTATTCATTTTCTCTTTCCTTACATTTGTAATCACATTTTATAAAATGTTATGATATTGTTAATCTTTTTTTGGGGGGTTGTTGTTCTTGTGAAGCGCCTCGTGACTTTTATCTTGACAGGCGCTAAAAGATACATTACTTCTTTTCTTTAAAAAAAAATATGTACATTTTGAGACTAAAGAAATATTCTGTTTCACTATTTTTCCAATAACTAATTACTCTAAACATTTCTGATTTTGGTCACAACAGAATAGTTGTTTGTATTTTTATTACAAGTCTTCGCTGCTGATGCACAGAAAGTTCTCTGACAGATGAGCAAAGGTTCATTCTAGTCTAGTTTGTTTGAAGTTATATTTTTTATATAATATCAATTGGGCGGCATTTAAGCATGTTTTATTTGTGTTCCTTTTTAAATACAGTACCTGAAATATAATGAATACAAACTACATTAGAGAAAATGTTTGAATAACCTTAATTAATATTTCACGTCTATTCATTTTTTACCTCATTTTGCATTTTTGCATTTTCCACATGCACCAGACTGCTCCGGTAATTCCTTACATGGTTTCCTTACTATTTTACAGCTGCTTGATATTCAAAACAAGACAACCTAAGATTAATGGTCTGACTCAGTATGAGCTCTTGGAGTCATAAATTCATTCTATGAGACTCATAATAATGTTACTTAGAGTAACTCGCTTAAACTTTCTTTGAATTGACAGAATTAGTTACATTTTACATTCCAGGCTGCACCAGGGACTCCATAAAAGTCCAAATTACCCAGTGAACAGTTGAAGGATGCAAAATTGAAAATGGCAAGTTTCCCTCAAGCAGCACGTTTAAAGACGTGCAGAAAAAACAACATGGACCATGAGTTGTACTTTAAAGCTTGCTACCACAGGTGTTTCAGCTCAGCTCTGACCATCAAATAAAAAGGTTACAAACATGAAACATTTAACATGGCAAGAAACATTACACACATCAAGTCTTTTCTCTCTTTTTACCTGCAGGCAACAGATGCTGATCTCATCTCCAACCTCACATATCGAATCAGAGCTGAAGGTCTGGATCCTGAGATATTGCAGCTATTCCACATCGACCCTGTGACAGGTCAGCTGTCAGTTCTCAAGGTTTTGGACTATGAAGCTCTGAATGAGTCCTGGCACACGTACACATTCACCGTGGAGGCTTTGGACACAAAGGGTACCATGCCTCCTGGACTGGCCTCTGTTACTGTCAGAATATTGGTGAGTTTGTGTGTGTGTGTGTGTGTGTGTGTGTGTGTGTGTGTGTGTGTGTGTGTGTGTGTGTGTGTGTGTGTGTGTGTGTGTGTGTGTGTGTGTGTGTGTGTGTGTGTGTCAGTCATGGTTTCTGTGTCTGAGCATATGATAAGATACAACATTGGTGTGTGATGCTTTTATTATCTTACTTTATAGCAGGGTTGCCCAATCCTGGTCCTGGAGGGCCGGTATCCAGCATGTTTTAGTTTGAACTCTGTTTCAACACACCTGATTTCAATCAGCATGTGATTAGCAGAATTCTGCAGAGCCTGATGAGTGGCTGCACAGGTGTTTCAGCCACTGAATCAAGAAAAACCACAAAACCTGCTGGATACTGGCCCTCCAGGACCAGGATTGGGCAACCCTGCTTTATAGTCTTGCTGCTAAATCAACAACATGTGATTTTTCATGTTTTATTTACATATTCATTTACACCCAATCCTGTCTTTATTCCCTAAAAGACAAAGCATTTAGTAAAAATAACATGAGGGATGCATCTCTGGGATAACTGTCTGAAGCATCTGATTCCTGCTGATAGCACAGCTTTAGAAAGTTTGTGTTTTGTGGCTAGAGGTAGCATTTTGCATCAAGTTGTGTGAGAAAACCTTTAAAGGTTTGAGAGAAACAGGAAGACATTCAGAGCATTCCCTGTTATGAAATAAAAGTGAAAAATAATCTTGTGGATTTTCTGTTTACGGACAGAAAACCTAAAATGAAATTTCATCCGAACAGCTACTTAATGTGTTGGTGCACATAGAGACGTCAGGCAGGACCGGTACAAGCAACAAAAACGTGTAATGTTTTTTATTCAGCAGTGTTGTTGATCTTTTTTGGTCCTTGAGGCAGCAGCAGTGGAACGACACACAGCAACAACACATGCTACAAACAGATAAATCCACACTTGGAGTGTTTTTGGGAAAGACTTTTATTCTCAGGTTTTTCAACCTCCAAGATCAGTTGTTTCCAGAGACTTGCATACGAATTTTAGTGAGATGTGGTAAAACTGGAAACCTAAACACAACCAAAAATATGTTCATATTAGAAGACAAAATGTGGATGTACAAATGAACAGAATAGAACAAGTGGTGCGTTAAAAAACACTAACATCTGAACAGTTAAAGACTTTTGTAAAAAATTTGATAAAATAACACCTGATGCATTTAATAAAGTAATGTTTCATTACAAAATGTTTTTTAATTGCCACAAAAAATTAAACTGGCAGTTTTACAGAAATATTCCTCTAGAGTCAAACCGGTCCCTCTTAACACAATTTGATGTACCACTGATTAATTTATTTTTAAACTGGCACTTAACTGAAAAAAATGAAAACAATTTTATGAATATTTCTGATATAATCTGTCACTCTGAATTTTTCATGCAGGCTGGACATGAAAATAGTCTCCTACACCTTTCCCCTGCATTAGCTTCTGATAGAAAATAGACAGTGAAACTGTAGGATTAGAAAAGCCTGACAGATCTACGTCACGCTGTCACTTAACATTCATGGACTCGCCCATTTTGACTCATGATGGGGAATGAAGTTGTTGGTTTAGCTTCCAGGAAATGGCAGAGAATGTCTCTGCTAGCAGAAGCCAACCATTAGCATTAGCAACCCCACCACACAGCAGAACTCATCCAGTCTGGTGTTATTTGTGGAGAAGAAACATCAAAGTTGCATAGCAGATAGACTCAGTGGTAGAGTCATGTTGCTGTTTTCCAATCAGAAGTGATGAAATACGATTCAAAATCCTTCTGGCTGAAGCTCAGCTCTGATGTGGCTCACTTCAAGTTCCTGAAACAGGTGCACTGCAGACCCCCCACCCCCCTACCCGCACCACCACCACCCCACCCCACCCTCACTGAGTACGACCTACAAGGCATTCATTCCTACTAGAGACCACTGCAAATGTATTAAAATATGAGTAAAGTACCATTTTATGAATCTGTTGAAAATCTCCCAAATGAACCCATGCAAGAACTAAATGCTAAATGTTTTTCACATATTTCACGTTGTGAAAATTTTGTAACTTAGAGGTGTTCACTACACATACAAACGGATCGGGTAATATTTTCAATAATAGGCTAAAACGAGTAAAAAATCTTTTATCGGCATTAGATGCTCTTGGGTTGAGAAGCTGAATGAGATTATGTAGTCTGTAAAAGCATCTGAGCCGTTTTTAAGCAACAAACCCAGTTGGTCACCAGAGCCCACAGGACAAGCAGCTGTTACTCACAACTCTGACCTCTAGCTGATCCACCGGTGGACGTGTCTGCTCTGGGACAATCACAGGCCACTTATCTGAGAAAAAAGGTTGTTGTTTGAATTGGTTTTAACTTGAGCAGGGATGGCTGACATTGGAGCTGTGTGAAATAAACACACGGCCTCTGTGGAAATAAAAACTCACTTTGATATTTATGTGCTGGAGCTCCTCACTCTGCTGCTTCTTTCTCTCCCAAATGCCACAGACGAATTATTTAGTGTGTCTGATCCAGCTATTACACCCTTCATCAGGCGCACCTGCACATTTACTGAAAATTGATCTCTATTTACAAACTTCCAACATCTGAGACATGAGAAAAATGTGATCGATTGTTTTATTTTATGTGAAAAGGCAACCTAAGACATTGTTTAGTTATTGTGTTCTGTAGTTTGAGAACATGTCAGAAGTTTGAAATTGTTCGTTATTCCAGTCAGATCAAAGTGCATTTCTTTTGGCAAGTTTAAAGAAAAACTTTCAGTTGACAAAAGTGTAACAGTATAAAGTATAAAATCTAAAATCCACCCACCAACCCAGGTTGTAGGGAATCTAAAACCCCTGCTTGGTGGAGCCGTGACTTTCACACTCCCTGATGTTTTCTGCTGTGATTAAAACCCTGCAGGTTTGCAGAACCACAGCCTTGACTCTACTCTTTGTACCTTAGAGCCAAATTGATAAATTTCTAAATCCACACTGAAGAAATAGTAAGACTCTAATTGAAGGCCAACCATGTCTGAAAGAAAAACATTTCATCTACCACCTTTTGTGCCCATGTTTTAATCTCTGACTTTCAGCAACTACAACACCAAACTCACTATATGTAAAAAATGACTGTCTAGTCCTTTTTGAGTTTGCAATGGTGTATAAGATGTAATGGGCATTTTGAATTGGATTGACAGCATAAATTAGGCAGTAGTTGAATAAATCCAATCAAGATTTGCTTTAGGTATTTTTTATTTGTTCCATGATTAATGAGATGTGTTGCTAACAGCAACTAGGTTGACTCCATTGTTAAATGGCTGAGACTAATGTACTTTTTCTTTTAAAAGTTTTGTTTCTTCCACATAATATTACTTGTTGAGGCTGATGCTCAGCTACTAACACACCTGTGGGTAGAAAAAAAATTATAGCCTAGAAATTTAAACAAGTCATAGCAGTAGTGAAAGATTTAGTTTTGCAGGTCAGTCTAGGTCGGTAGAGCCAGGTCGACCATTGGCCTGAACGATTTTAGGTCCAGCCAATCACAGCGCTCTGTTTATAGAGAGACATTGGGCAGGCTTATTGTGCGTTCCAGTTGTCCTCAGAATTTCTGAGCGGGAAAGGACGTTACAGGCTTGTTTTGCGTTCCAGCTATCACCTGGGTGGATGGATGCCACCAGTGTTGTGGATGGCGGATTGTTGCGCATGCGCTGTCCGTCACTCGGCGGTTAGCCCCGTAGCAAGATCACGATTCTACACACCGGAGCGTTTTACAAGAATCACCGCTAATTGAACTGGCTGTACTTTGTACTGGAAGGATTAGCGGATTTTAGGATGCAGAATCGCTGCGTCGGAACGGTTTGACAGCTTATCGGGACGTGTTCCCAAGTCCAAACCGGGGTGGCTAGTTAGCTCTTGGGCTAATGCTAGCGAGTGTCTGGAGCGACCAGAACAAAAATGCCTGATTAACCAAACGTGCCTTAGCGACGAGGTAATATAGGGACTTTAGCACCTGCACTCTGGTGTGCAGATGCGCTCTTCGGTCTCTAACGACGGCTTACAGCGGATAATATTAGCAAGTTAAGCTAACTATTATGCTAGCGAGGTTACCGGGAAAGGATAGGCGCGGATCAGATGCCCTCCGAATGGAAGTAATTTCCGACGGGGATTAATATCTCCGATTTTACAAATATGTGCACACAGAGTCACAAACACAGCGACAAATAATAAAACAGACAGTTTTCAATGTACCAAGACGGGAAAAATATACCTTCATATATAGGCCTCAAAATGGCCTTCATATGTAGGCCTCAAATTGGCCGCTAGCCACGTCAGCTTTAAGGTGTTTTGATGAAACAGCACCTCCTGTGGAGGGTGATGAATGTGCAACCCCCCTTCAAGATAAAAGCTGTCTGAATGAGGAAAAGCTCACTTTTCCCTTTTTCCTCTGAACTCACACTGAACAAAAATCCCAAATATGTCTCAAAATCGGCACAAAGTGTAATAAACTGTGCAGATATCAGGCTAGGCTCGCCATTTGTAGTGATCTGTAGTCGTATATTTATACACTGTAATTAGATCTAAGTATTATAATCAGAAGTGGTTGTTTTTAATCATCAGGGAGTTTACTTAAACACTCTGTACTGACTGAGAGACAAGAAAAGAGAGAGTTGGGATCGTTTTAGAATCTTTAATTTCTCTAATTATAAATTCTTACAATCTACCAGGACTATCTCAATGATGGATGCATATGGATTTGGATGTTTCGTGTTGGTGTGTGTGTGTGTGTGTGTGTTGTTCAGAATCTCTAGGCTGACGTAGCGAATCTGGTTGTTATGACTAGGCTACCACGAGGCTTCAGAAGCTGATGACATGAGCCACCATTTTGTCGTAACCACATACCCTGTAGAGCCTCCCGTGTAGATCAGGAAATGCCAGGTCCTCGGACCCTCGGATGTACTGGAGCTGGTGGAACAGCGGTCGCAGCACTACAAAGCCCGTCTGTGGGTCGACTCCGGTAGCAGTCGGCAGGCGTCAGCGAGTTCACTCTTATTTTGAAGGAATGTCGTCTTGTTGTTCAAAGGACAGAAATCTCCAGCTTGACAGTTCTCAGCTTAAAATAGGAAAGTACAGCTGGCCAGCCTGTAACTTTCTTAATGATGATGATGGAAATCCTTAGGACCTCCAATTGAACAGAACTGAGGTTAAAATGGAACTGAGTATAAAATGGCGTTGCCTTGTTTTATATACCCTAATTGTTTACAAATCTTAGTAAACCGGATTGGACAACTTTCATTAAACAACCCAGATTCTGCCCTACGACAGACGAAAGTTCTGATTGGTTGAAAACAATGTGTCATGCGTTTCCATGGTAATGTAGATCAGTCTGTCTGGTGCAGTCCTGTTTATTCATTAAACACATAACTCATGACATCTTTATTTCACAGATCATTCACCTGATTATTAATGACCAACATATGCCCTGATTAGCTTTATCACGAATAAAGTACTTTGATTAATTAATGGAAAGCGTTCTTATTCTCTTCTTCTTTCTCTTCTCCTGGAATGTAAACATACTGAAACAAGCGTCCGACCTTGGCGATGTTACTGTGTGAAGGGGCAGCTGTTAAGGGCAGACAATTATAATATTCATGACGCTACATGGAGTACTAAACCAAAGTTTAGTGTAGACACTCCCTTCGACAGTTGCCACATACAATCAGAAAAATATTAGAAATCAAATGTAAAAACAAAAATGCCAGGAAAAGTAAAAACCATGAACAATGTGACATTTTTCAACAACGTAACTATTGATAACAACAATAAACAACTTACCAGTACTGTTAAATAGCAAAAAGAAAGAAAACAGAACAAATAAATGAGAAAAATATAAAGACGATAACTACACTCAACAAAAATATAAATGCAACACCTTTTTTTCTTCTCTGATTTTTCATGAGATGGACTTAAAGATCTAAAATTCCTCCCAGATACACACTATTACCATTTCTCTCAAATATTGTTCACAAATCAGTCTAAATGTGCGATAGTGAGCACCTGTGCTTTGCTGAGATAATCCATCCCACCTCACAGGTGTGCCACATCAAGATGTTGATCTGACATCATGAGTAGTGCACAGGTGTACCTTATACTGCCCACAATAATAGGCCACCCTGGAATGTGCAGTTCTTTTTGCTTTATTGGGGTTCTGGGGACTCAGAACCGGTCAGTATCTGGTGTGACCACCATTTGCCTCATGCAGTGCAACACATCTTCTTCACATAGAGTTTATCAGATTGTCAACTGTGGCCTGTGGAATGTTGGTCCACTCCTCTTCAATGGCTGTGCGAAGTTGTTGGGTGGGAAAATACAAATAAAATAAAATAAACTATGTTGTTGTTGTTTAAATTGTTAGCATGAACTGTTTAGTTGTCTCTATCACTTTAAACAAGCACTGAGTTATTGGTGAGAGTTTTGATGCAGCTTCTAGGTTACACAAAGACAAGATGGCCACTTTCTGTCTTGACCGAGGCAGGTCAGGAGAGGTGGCCATAAACACTGCTCAGTGAAATCAGCACCAATCTGTTGCCACCAGCTGGTTCAAGGCTGACCACTTATTATTTTAATCCAAGCTCTACAAGAAACCAAAGGATTTGTTTGTGTTGTATAGAACAATCTCCGCTGTGTATCGTTCCCTCACACGGGGCACCAAATAATGTTGTGGATATTAGCCAACAAATAGTTTGTAAGTTTTACTTACCCTTTGGATTCATCAATAAAATTTGTAAATATGGAAATATTATCGATTCTATTACTTAATTGGGATATCTGTGGATATGCCTCAGGGCACCACCTCTTTTAACATGGGAAAAATGAATCCAAACCTCTATCAATCTGTCTAAAGTTTGTAAAAATAATGTTAACGAGCAGCTGTCATATTCTATCCAACACAGAAAAATTCACTTGAGACAAAACTTAATTGGCAATACCATTTATTAACTAATATAACCACCTCAGCTTCTCCAAGGCGCTAGCCAATCAACATGTCAACCAACTGGTTTTGTCAAACAAACAACAAGCAAGGAAACAATGGAATGATAATGTGAAGTAACAATCTAATCAGACCGGTGGGGTGAGATGGTGATGTAATCAAGCAATGGGGGGGTTGCTTGATGATGTAATCAGACAGAGATTGGCGGATTACCAGACTGGAGGGAGTTTTGAAAAACAAAATGGCAGATCCTTTGTTTGGTTGAACAAATGGTCGAAACTAGGTGTGTGTGTGTGTGGAATTTAACCTCACTTCCCAAACACGTATAATCAGTGGGCGTGGGCCCCTGATCAGACGCGTATTTGGCGGTGTGAGCAAAGTTCACAGTAAACTTGATCAAAACAATTCAAATCGCTTCACAAAGCTCAAGAGAAAAAACAATAGATCAATCATAAAGGCAAATTAAATATCCAAACAGTCTGTCCAGCCTGGCCACAAAATAAACAAACTTAGATATTAAAACAATAAGAGAAACGGAGCTTACTTCGAGATGGTCCGTTGGCGTTTTTAGTACGGAAGAGAGAGACCGTCTAGTATTTTAAAGCAGTCACGTGGTCTACCGCTTGTTTTGGACTATTAGAGAAGCGAGAGAGAAAGAGAGAGAAAAAAGAAAAATCGTGAATGAACGGACACAAGGCAACCCTCTGTGTCCGGGGCTGAGCAGATCAGATGGTGTTGGTCCGTTGATCCCAGCAGCTAGGCCTCACACACACGCTGTCCGAAGCGGTAGGAGCAGAAGCGGGGGTCTCCTTACACCAGGTGAACTGGACAGGGGAGAGAAAGAGTTCCGCTCTGCGCCTCGGCTTTATAGACTCGTCCAGCGGGCAGTCTCTGTAGGGGCCGGTATCCACTGGGGGCCTGTCAGATTTGGCATCTATTGATGATGTCATCAAGCTGCTGCCGGCTGCAGAGGATTATGGGACTTGGAGTCCCTGCTGGTGCTGATATTAACATGCTTTATTGTCTAAGCTTCAGGGAGTAGATGGCACAGGCCTTTGGAGAAAATACTGCGTAGTAATTTTCTCATGAGGGCAGGACCCCAACAATTAGCTGTTTTTGGTTAACTTTTCTTGGAAAAACGAGTTCCGAGGAACACTGGAACGCACCATTAGTACCAAAGCTGCGATAGAGAAAAACTACAAAGCTGAGGTAGTATTGATTTAGGAATTCAGCATTGACCCTATAGTGACCAGAAATCCATCATACAAGCAGAATAAGATTTGTTTTGGCCCTAAAGGGAAATTACCCAGTTAATCTTGTAAATACATCTACAACAACTAATATTATTATTCTGATTTATATTAATACACACACACACACACACACACACACACACACACACACACACACACACACACACACACACACACACACACACACACACAAACACGCACAATAATAATAATAATGTTGATAGTATGGACTGATGGACAGGTGCAGGTTTATGCATTTAACAAGATATTTAATAAATGAGAATCAGGGCTGCTGTAAAATTTATTCTCCAGTCCACATCCAGACAGAACTATCTTCTATTCAGTGTTATGATCAGCAGCAACTAGGATGTTTCTGCACTTTCAAGTGAAGCACACTCCTCTTGTTTAGACTGTTTTGTGCTTACTTCTGATCTATATTGTTTGGATGCCACCTATACACCTCTTTAGATCTACCTGCTTGTCAGAGCATTTGGCCACTGATTGGAGAGATGCTGCATGTTGTAAATTACTGCAGAAATGTGCACGGTGTTGGATAGACCTGTCTTTTTTGTTTCTCTCTTATCTGGGCTGACGGTGCTGCACGTACGGCATACCTCACAGTAGTGATGTGCATTTTGTGCATTTGGAGGCAATGTGTCCTTTTGCACAAAATGAGGCCCGGCATGGTGCGCACTGCTTATCGAGAGGGAGGGGCATTGAATGTTTTGTGTTTATTTGAAGACGAACAGATATTTTTGCTAAAACCTTGGAGATTTTGACCAACAAATAACTAGAAAAACTACTGGTACACATCGTATCCTAGAGATAAAAATTTGAAGTGCTGGTACTGCTTACCAGTGCATACCAGCCCACTTAAACCACTGCCATTGAATTATTTCTGTAGTGATGAGTATGTCACATTATTCATTGCTCAAATTGGTTCTAGCATTGTCCAATTGCGTGCAACGCCAGTTTGAAAAATAACTGTAGATTATATTTACATGTCTTGGATGGCATGCCAGGATATAAGTCACTGATTTAAAACTATTTCTTTCTGTTCTTTCAGTGGCAATCCATAAGAAATCTGATTAGTCAGCAAAAGCAGGAGGTTTTAGGACTCAGGTGTTGCTTCAAGAGGATTGGTGCATTGGGTTAGATGCACTGCACTGTTGAATCTAGATGTACCTAAGTTTATGAAGCATCTCCAACCCCAAGTGAGTTTGTGGCCTGAGTAAACACATGTAGGGATCAGATTAGGATGTGCTGCAGATACTGGATACTTTAAAGGTTATGTTGGCTCTATCAAATCTCTCTGCAGGACATGAATGACTTCTCTCCAGCATTCAGCCAATCTGTGTACAGAGGCATGGTTGCTCCAAATGCTGTCAAGGGAACCATCATAACCACGGTGATGGCCAATGACTCTGACCCTGCGGTAAGCATTTTCAGCTACTGATGTTCTTCTTGAGTACTTTACTTCTTTTCCATGTGAGATAACAATGTCCAGCTCCAGTCAGAGTGTGTGTGCTCCAAATTAAATCCTAAACCTTTTATCTAATAAGGTCCAGTTTATTCAACAGATTAAAGAAAGATTCCGAGTTATTTGCCATGTAGGCCAATTCAACAGCAGTTTAAATGACAACGGCAGGCTCTAACAGAGCCTTTAGTGCAGCATAAGGGATTGGCTTCACTGAGACACACAAACTTTTTGTTTAGACTGAGATCTGCTCTTCAGTGGCTGTGTGAAAAATAGCCCTCATTTTTATTGAACGAGAAAAGCAGCCACCTGATATATTTTCCAAGTTCACCCAACCACATAAATATTTATGGAAAAGGAGCAAAACACAAAAGTATCTTTATTTTGCATTACTGCCCAAGAGGATCTAAACTGATTTTTCACATTCACAATCTCCTCCACCAGCCATGTTTTGCCACAAGCCTCTGTAAAAAGCTTCACTTCCTTTGAATTATGTGCTCACTGTCCTCTTTCATCAGCTGAATTGATTCAGACTGCAGGTAGGAGCATCAAAGTAGATTCTCCTGCGTAAAAAAAACACATGGTTAAACTCTCCAGGTTGTGTATTATAAAGGTACTCCAAAAGCTCAGACTAGCTTCTAAACAGCCTTTTTTTATTTAGACCCAGATATATGCATATATTTATTTAAATATGGGGAAATGTTTATTCTCACTAGAGTCAAATTATTTTATTTTGAAAGAAATGTGAGTTAGATTTGCTGACTCACTTTAAGGAGGGCCGGTGTCCAGCATGTTTTGGTTTTAACTCTGTTTCAACACACCTGGTTTCAATCAGCAGCTCATCCAGCTTCTGCAGAGCCTGATGAGCTGCTGATTTAACCACTGAATCAAGTGTGTTGGTGCAGAGTGTTGTGGAATACATTTGTTAATTATGACCAATAAGATGTGATGATTCCAAATAAATATGAAATATCAATCTAATTGATCTTTGAATGTTTAATCAGACGATTCTAGTTTTTTTTTTTTGCTTCTTTAGGGACCATAAACACACTTCGTATTAATTCAGACATAGTCAGTATATACATTTTAAAATGAATTTAATTATTTTTCCTAAACTAATGATACATGACAGATTTGAATAATGAGATGTGGTGTGGTGGATGTGAGGTGATGTAATGGAAGCTAGATGTTTAGTAAAACCATTCTTAGGAACTGAGAAAGTTGTGAAGTCTGGGTTGTAAAATAATTTATTTGTTTATAAACTAGAGAGTTGTTTAATTAAAAAACAGCATCAGATGCAATCTGTCATGCCAAGTCTACGCACCCTTGGTGTGGAGGTTCTTGTTCCATCCAGGGAATCGTGTTGGTCACTGCCGGTGGAGTGAACCTCTGATATCAGAAACCTGTATAGCTCCGATAGGACCCACTCAGTCTGAGATCCTTCCAGGTAAAGGCAGGAAGTTGGAATGCTTATTTGCGTCTAAGGTTGATGTTTGCTTGGCTCTTGGAAGAGAGCTGTTTGGCTGTATCAGCTTGCAGCATCGCAGAGAGGCTTTCAACGGGAGATCAAAAGAGTTTGTTTCAAAAGAGGCTTCTTTCCCAGTTTGGCCGAATTGGGAGTCAGTTGGAAACTGAATTAATTCTCATTTTATTAAACTACCATGTTATGACTTTTGGCCAAGTTTTGCAAATCAGAATTTGACACGTTTCTGAGTATTTACCAACATCCCTCAGAAAACCACGCCCTCCTCTGATACAAAGGGTTTTTAACACTTTGTGAATGAGAACGATCAAAACACTTATGTGAGGTTAATATTACCCTTAATATTTATCTTATTGTAATGTGTTTGAGTGTAAACAATGATTAACTTGTTAAATCAAACACATACTGATCATAAGATCTGAAATGGATCATTGTAAGGGCAACATTAATTTCAAAGCCATCACTAGTTTACACAGAGGTTATTCAAACATTTGATTTAAACATCTTGTTCATTCATCACATAATTATTTAACTTAGAAGTAAAATCATGTTGGATTCGAGTAGGTTCACTTTTTATTCAGAAGGAGGAATTCAGCAGTCTGGCTTTTACGCTGAGTGCGGGACCGTGGGTGAGAATGTTTGTCTGAAACGTTTTGTCTTCATGCATGTAAATATGCACTGAGCAGAATCTTCTGGAACTGGAAGGCCAAATAGAAAGTGGATTTATGCCTGTAGATGAAAGGTTATACTGTGGTCAGTTGGATGGTGAAAAATAGACCCTTTTGTACGTTACAAGAGGAACCACTAAAACATGCTGGATACCGGCCATCCAGGACCAGGATTATGCACCCCTGCTTTAAAGGTTGAATATGGATCACGGACACTCTGGCGACATCTAGTGTTTGGAGGTGGTATATGAAAAAACAGAAATCTTTTTCCAGCTGTTGAGGTGTTGATTCGCTGCTGACATGTAAAGTGACTAGCCAGCGCCATATTCAGTGACAAATATTTCTACTAATAAGTTAATTTTACAACATTATTTACAGTTCGAACATCTTCTGGGCTCAGAATCAGCTGCTTGAATTGTCAAGTCTGCCATTTTACACAGTCCCAGCCTTGCCTTGCCGAGCGGACGTTTTACCGCAATGGTGCTGCCTAGTGGCAGGCAATTGTAAACACAAACCCAGTGTCATGCCCTGCAAAATTAAAGTTTCATTTTTTATTATAAAAAAAGTTTGTTCATTATGCAGACCTCTACATGCCCAGTGGAGGTATTATTTTTTTTTAAATATAGCTTTTTAGTAAAATGTTCCATATTCCACCTTTAAGTGGTAAGTGCAGCTCTGGTCACTGTGCTTTATTAAAGTTGTTTAAGAGGATGGTTAGTGTGAAAATAATCACTGTGATCATCCCTTAGGGTTATAAAATGTTCTTTTAATTTTTCCACCATTGTTAGGCAGTGACTCTGTCCTAAATGGTAAATGGCCTGTATTTAATACATCACCTTCCAGAATCTTTGAACCCCCCAAGGCACTTTACAACACAGTCATTTGCCCATTCACACACACATTCACACGTTGGTGGGGATGAGCTATAATGTTGCCACAGCTGCCCTGGGGTCCACTGACAAAGGCGAGGCTGCCGTAAACAGGCGCCACCGGTCCCTCCGACCACCACCACCAGCAGACAAGGGGAGTTACCGTAAATCCTCTAATACAGGCCCGGGCCTGTATTTTACTCAAGCTCATCAAGCTCCAGGCCTTTATTGGAAGGAGGGCCAGAATTAGAGGCAGGCCTCAATTTCTATTTGAGCAAAATGAACTCAAATATAGTGCTGGAGTTTTTGACAATTAAAATCACGCCCACATTTTCAAAGTTAAACACATTTCTTTTAACAACGGTAGTTTCTGCCGCAAACTCACGGATGCGCCTGCAGCCTCTCCGTGTTCCTGCTGCTCTAAACATTAAAATAATTATTTCATTTTCTGTTCCTCACCTCTGATTACCTTCAATGGTGTCTGTTTGTTGCAACCACCAGGTACAAAAACTAACTTGTTTTTATTTGACCATTTTTCTGTCCTGTCTCTGTTTATCTTCCTGCATCTCTTCTCAATCCTAAAGAAAAACTGCTACCTGGATTCATATATATTCACCTTATGAGTTACCTTTGAACTGCAGTTCTAAAAGATCTACCGACTGCAAAAACAGCGGATTGCGTGCTGCTCACCGGCCGCATCAGTGAGGTGCGTCACCGGAGGACAAAACAGGTGATGCGCCCTACTCCACAGCAGCGAAAAGCTTCAGGCACAAATAAGACAGAAAACATAAAAGGAAATGAGTCGACATGAACGACCGCGTGTTAAATTAGTTTTTGAGGTGGCAACACCTAATTTGATAATTTTTTTTTTTTTTCACCGTGTCCTGTCTGGCTGTGAAGCAAGCAGAATTGATGTCTGAATGCTGGTGACAAGCCTTACAGATTTATTCTCAGGTGGAGCATCAAAGCCTTTGCTTTTAATGTCACGCCTGATACTTAAAACTTTATTGTTATTGTTGTTGAATGCTTTGTAATTCCGACCAGACACGGAGACAGAGGTGAAAGAGAGAGGAAAAGAAAAGGTGGAGAGAGGGGGGGGGGGGGGGGGGGTCCACAAAAATAAACAATAATGAACAAGAGTCTGCTTCTAGACCTGCAGAAAAAAGACAAAAAAAAACAAAGGGACACAAAAAAAGGGACACAACAACAATACAAGATCTACCTATCACTGCGTCAACTTGATGAAAAGAAAAAATATGTATATATAATCAACATTGCTTAACTGAAGAATCACGATAATAAATCACAACGCATTAAGTGCCCACCATAGTCTTAAGACCTGTGTTTAACGTGCCCAAGCCCATACTTTTGAGAGCACCATGTGAGCACCTGTGTGTGTACACGCGCTTGTTTATTTAAGGTTTTTCTATAGGAGCGCCCAACAGAGAGTGTGAGGGACCACAGATCTGCCCCCCAAAGATGCGCAGGAGACTGGGGGAGCTCCAAGTCCCAGAGATCCAGGCGCTGCCCCAGAACGCAGGAACCCCAAGGAGACTGCAACCAGGAAGGCCCCCGCCCCCCTCGAGAGGCACAGAGGATCGCCCCGGGGGGCCACAACCAGCAGCCGGCAGAGTCCCGGGAGACATCAGCGGCAAGCCCACAGGCCCGCCCGCAGCCTCCCACCCCCTAGCCGGCCGAGCCCGGGACCCAGCGACCCGGAACCCAGGGGCGACCACCCCCGCCGGGGACCCAGCAGAGCCCAGGGACCTAGACCCCACCAGGCAGCCACCGCGATCTAACAGGCAGATGCCAAAATATTAAACCCCCAGACCCGGTTGCCACGAACACTCAGGCAGACCAAGGCACAAGCCCCCACACCAGGTGTGGCAGGGGGAGGGGGGACAGAGATCTATATCATCAAGAGAAGTTCCAGGAGAG